ACTGTTTATTTTGGTGAATTTGAGCTGCCGAAGCTGCCGTAAGAAAACAAGAAATTAGGAAAAGTTGTTCTAAGTAAGTTTATATTGTCTATAAGTAAGTTTATATTTAATTTTACAACAGCCTTCCGAAAAAAGTTCCAGTTTAAATTATTTTCATGCTGAAAGTTCCAGTTCTCGTTTTAAGGACCTGCGTAACGGACATCATCCCTTTGAATGCGAAGATCTAAAAATCTAAAAACGCGATGAAAAGAACGCATTCTTTTGAATTTGAATTTTAAATGGATGATTTTTTATTTTTAGGTTGTTTTAAATGAAAAAAATTAAATAACCACAAGAACATTCCGTTAGCTCTACCTGTACTCGTAGCATTGCAACAGATCCCCTTTCGGTGCAATAACATCAAATCATCATCTGTCGAATTTCAATGAAACTCTTCTCCATAACCGGCAGACAAGTGAACGAATCAGACCCAGCCTCAAACTCCATAGCTAACACTGGGAACTACATTACTGATTTGTGTCCTCGAGAGTATTTAGGAACAAAGAACAATGTTTGGGATGAAAAGCGCCGCGCAGACGGTTGATACCGTGAAGATAGACACAGAAGTTCTATTGAGAACGACCGGAAGCAATAGCAAAAAAGAGCTGGTCGGAGCCATTGATCAAGGGACTTCGTCGTCTCGTTTTTTACTTTTTACAAAGGAGGGAAAGATCGCCGCGTGGGCCCAAAAGGAGACTACTCAAATATTTCCAAGCGAGGAGGGAACGGTGGGCTGGCACGAGCACGATCCCATGGAAATCTGGCGGACAATTGTGGACTGCATCAAAGCTGTCATCGAAGCAATGGACAAAGAAGTGAAGAAACACAACAATAAGTTTCTCTCCGGGTACAGCATTGCTGCCATTGGCATCACTAATCAGAGGGAAACGACCGTTGCCTGGAATGCAGTGACAGGTCAGCCTTACTATAATGCTATTGTGTGGGATGACACTCGTACCGTTTCGATTGCAAGCCACATTGCCCAAGGGGACGATGATCGATTGCGAGACAAAACAGGACTGCCACTAGCTTCCTACTTTGCTGGCACTAAAGTTCGTTGGTTGTTGGACAATGTTGATGCATTGCAAAAAGACATCGACGGCCAACCAGAGGTGGTCCGTTTTGGGACCATCGATACCTGGATCTTATATCAACTGACTGGCACACCGGCAAAAGCCAAGAATTCATTGAACGTTGGTGGTTTGTTTGTCACAGATGTCAGTAATGCTTCTCGTTGGCTTTTTTTGGATTTGGTGAAGGTTGACTGGGACAAGGACCTTGTGAAAGAAGTTTGTGAACCTCACAATGTTCCTCTGACGGCTCTTCCAGAAATCAAGGCCTCGAGTGAGATCTATGCGATACTGCAAAAAGATTCAACCGGAATTGACAAGCTGCAAGGTGTGCCAGTCTCGGCTATTTTAGGCGACCAGCAAGCGGCATTATGTAAGTGAAGGAATCTATGTTCACCGAGCGTTTTCCCTGAGTAACAATGCGTTTGTCGTAAAAGGAGGAAGGGAAAACAGCGGAATGCCCTTTGCGAAAGAAAAATTTCCAGAAATGATCTAATTCTATTTCGAACCTGTGTTCTCAATTTCCGGAAAAAAATCGAATCCCAAATATTTCTTCTACAGTTGGACAGGTTGCCTTTGAACCGGGAGAAGCCAAGAACACGTATGGCACCGGCATGTTTCTAATGATGAATACGGGAACAAAATTGGTCCCGTCTACTCATGGGCTGCTGACAACCATAGCATACAAAATTAGCGACGAGGTGGTTTACGCTCTCGAAGGGAGCGTGAGCCACTCAGGATCCACCATTCAATGGCTCAGAGATCAACTCGGACTTTTGAAGTCGGCAACCGATTCAGAGGAATTGGCAAGCGGTCACAATGATGGTTTGTACATGGTTCCGGCCTTTGCGGGACTTTTTGCACCGCATTGGAGGCCCGATGCTCGTGGATGTGTGGTTGGCATAACTGCGGCCCACCACAAGGGTCACATCATAAGAGCTGCACTCGAGGCGGCTGCCTATCAAGCACGAGAGGTTTTTGAGGCAATTGAAGCCGATTCAAATGTTGAGTTGAAGGCACTGAAAGTAGATGGGGGTGGCTCACACAACAACCTGATGATGCAGTTCCAAGCAGACATGATCAACGCACCAGTAGTAATTCCACAAGTTCAGGAAACTACCGCTATGGGCGCGGCCTTCGCCGCCGGGTTGGCTGTCGAATTCTGGAAGGACAAACAAGAGATCAAAAGCCTTTGGAATCAAGCGGGATTGTTTACACCATTGATGTCGGAACAACAAAGAGAATCCAACTGGGAAGGCTGGAAGAAGGCCATCAAGCGAAGTCTGGATTGGGTTGAAACCGAAGAAGACGATGAATTCGTCGATGCTAGGGAAGGCACAGACAGTTCAGTGATCAGAGAGAACGATGATAAATCCACTTCAAAGAACAACACCAAGGACAGTGATGCCAGTGGAAAAAGCATGAGGGCTTTCATTTCTCTTGTACTCGGGGCCACCGTCGCAGGTGGAGCAGGATTTTTGTTAGGTCGAAGAAAGCGATGAGTCTTTCAATGAAGTAATAGTTAGTTGGGAATAGAAAATAATTTTAAAAACTTTCCATACCACGAATGTATAATGCGACGTTTCTATATTATTTGTGAATACGGCTCGCCCAGGCACCTTGCACTGGTTTGGTCAGTTTAGTAGATGCCGAAGCTGGTGAGGAGTTCAAACTAGGAGCTGCAGGAAAATCTTTTAAGGAAGGCCACGCGTTGGCACTTCCAAAGTTGGCCGACTGCAATGACCCTGCCACTGAATTGGGTGGCGTACTTCTAGATTGTTGGCAACCGCGTTTTATAGCACGTTGAATTTGGGGCGAGGCATGAGTACGCCAATCACTAGATGGAGAAGGCGGGGTTGGTGGAGTGATGGGCACATTGTTACCAGATATTGTTGACCTGTTCACATTCTTTGTAGCACCATGGTGTGGTGAGGCCGAAGAAGCCTGGTGCAGACGAGCTGCCCATGATCCAGGTGCTGGGACTTTGTGAGTTGTGGGAGGAGTAAGAATTCTTCCAGATTGTGAAACCGCAGCCATACCGGGTGATTGAAATTGTTGTTGACGATTTTTCGTGAAGTTGAAGTTGGATTTTGATGTCGTGGGGCTATACCCCGCAACTCGGTTGCGGTTTTTGGTCCCAGTAGAGTTTACTGATTGCCAACTTTCTTTTGCTACAGGCTTGGGAGCGGGTTGAGTCTTGGGTACTTCCACCATAGTAGTAGCAAGAGTCTTTGAGGATATCTTGCTTGTGGCTGTAGAAGGAGTTAACTGAGGGACTGATGTTACAACAGATTGTTTTGGTGGACCATCGCTAGAAGCTTCTCGTTGAGGAGCTTGAGATGCAGATGCCGTCTCGCCTTCGTTATCGCTAGGCAGAGGAGTTGTAGTAGTGTCTACAGATGCCGTTTCTGATGCCGCTGAGTTGACGTTTTTGTTTTTCTTCTTTCGTTTGCGAGGAGGACGCTTCTTTTTTTCTGGCTGAGGCGGTGGAGGAGCTTCGTTGTCCGAGCCATATTTGCTCGACGCCATATCCGAATCGGACTCACCATCTTCTTCAACGGTTTTCCAGTAACTTTCAATTTCTTTGGCATCCCGCGATGGCAGCATGAAGTCGTCCTGGACGAACGAAAATCCTCGAAACGTATCTGATGCAATTCTTCGTGGCTTGTGGTTTTCACTAGCCATCTCTTTGACGGATCGTGGTAATGGCATGTCGGTAAATTCTTCATGGAAATTTCGCAAATCATGTTCGTGGTCAACGTTCAAATCATACGGTGGCGTCAATTCTTTCTGATCGAGTTTTATCCAATCGATTTTTGCAAAGAAGGGTTGCTGCTTCAAGCCTGCCACTCCTCCTACCTCAAACATCGTCGAACGTGCTGATCCCAACCGTTTGTCGGGGTTGCGATTAAGCAATCCCTTCAAAAGCTTACAAGCTGCTGCCGTTGATCCCGGTGGCATCTTAACCTTTTCGCTCATAATTTTGCGGAACAATTCCTTGGAACCTTGCTTCGACGAAAATGGGGGTAATCCGTTCAACATTTCGTATGCAATGCATCCCAAACTCCAATAATCGGCTGCTTTCCCATATCCCTTGTTCGCCACCATTTCTGGTGCCCTACGAACAGCGCCAAAGATAGAGAACAAAAAGAACTCGATTATTAACAGAGGACAGAACAAAGAAAATCATGTCAAGGTTCAAAGAATATATCAATGTAACACAATAAAAGCCAACCTACATGTACTCTTGGGTGCCGCAAATCGTTCGGGCTCGTTCTTGGTCGTCGCTTCCGTCACGCCCGCTCCAGTCCGTTCCAAAGTCTTTCGCTAACCCAAAATCCGTAAGGCAAATATGCCCATCGTTGCACAGCAAAATATTTTCGGGTTTGAGGTCACGGTGGAGAATTCCCAGGTTGTGCAAGTGATCGAGACCCGAAATCAATTCCGCTAAATAAAAAGCGGCATCCTTTTCCAAAAAGATGCCCTCGCGGCCCAATCTCAGGAAGAGTTCGCCCCCGGCCAGAAAGTCCATGAGGATGAAAAGCTTTTCTCGAGTTTGAAAGGAACAATGCATCTTTACAACAAAGGGGTGGTTGACCCTCTTGAGAATGTTTCGTTCTGCCTGCACGTTTTCGATGTAACCGGATTTCTTTTTGAGTTGTCGTTTGGAAATAATTTTCATGGCCAAAATCTGCGAGGATTGTTTGTTTCGAACCTGCAGAACTTTTCCAAAAGCCCCCATTCCAATTACTTTGAGGAGTTCAAAGTCTTTGGGCGTGACGTACTTCTTGCTGGTGTCAACGGCTCCTTCGTCTGTAGTTGTTGTTTTGGATTGCTGTTCGGCTCCAGAAACCTTTGAACCATCCGGCGTGGCAGAAGAAAAGTCGCTTTGATCCGTTCCAATCGAGCGAGAACGATGGGGAAGAGTAGAGGTAGCTGCTGTGTGAGATATAGCAGCAGCAACGGCTTCGGCGGCAGCCGCTTGGGCCTCCTCAACGGTTTCTCTGGTGAGAGTTGTAGACTGATTGAAGTCTTCAAAGTCGGCGTTCTTGCTCTCGTCGTTTTCATCGATGCGAAGTGTGGAAAGAGAGGAGTCGATGATGTCTGTGGCATCGACAAGGCTGCACGCATCCAAACTATCTTTCATAAGGCCAGCAACTTCGACCATCGTGCTCTTTCGGAACGATCGATCACTGCGATCTTCTCGCTTGTATTCTTTTCGTTTTCGGCGGAGCAAATTGCAGGGTGTTGTTCTTAAACTTAGGCTGTATAGTGCGAGAAAGAAGGATATTGTTCGTATCGTGTGACACGACAAATCGGCTGGATACGTTTCTACCGACAAGTCAACGCTTCCTTGCTGCAAGCCATCGATTGCGTGCTTTTTGTATTCCACAGAATGCTTTTCTTCGGTAAACTAGAATTAATCGTTAATCGTGCTCATAACTTGAGAAGCATCGTAACCTTTAAACTACTGTACCGTACACCGTACCTGATGATGAACAGGAGATTCGTGGTATGTTTTCTTCCCTTTATTTTAGCATTTGCGGTGTCAAAAGTTGAAGCAAAATCACTCCTGTCTGCCTACGGTACGTACGGTACTCGTACGTGACGAATGAAGGTTCCCTCACCGGAAAAAATCTCACACCGGCAAGACCGTATTCAATTGTCGCGTTACACGTAGTACATTACGGTACGTACGTATTTCTTTTGTGGTGAGCGGCAGGTGGAAGTCGAAAGCAATTTGTATGTTGTACGGTACGTACGGTACCATAACGTACATCATGGGTGATTCATGTTAATCTAAATGTTAATGTACTACGGTAGTAAATTTGATAGACTGACAGACTGAAATATTTGGCAAATCACTGCTGATGCTGCTGCTGCTGGACTTAAATTTACTCGTAAGAAGCATTAAAATTCAGATAATTGAGCTGTTTGAGACCAGTACCAAAACAACTGGGTAGCAAAATCAACGGCTTCTTACTAGTGTGTTTGCACTACTAGTACTAGATGGTGGTGGAAAGAAGATCTGAATGTGCATGTACAGCAGTCCTGGCATTCTTTGTTGGTATTTGGCATGACAGCACAATGGTAGATTCTGGTATATCACCATATAGCAACGGCGTTAAAAAAAACCATGATTGTATTGTGCATTTTTAGTAATCCTATATTTATACACATACTATGCGCAAAATAACAATTGAATCTTCTTTAAATATGGGGTTGGGAATGTTAAAATAAACGTACAGAATATCAAATTAACATTCAGAATTTTAGTTAATTTCTGTAGCCCTACGTAGATCCTAGTAGTATCCCCATTCTTCAACAATGATGTGGTGGAGCACTACCTTCCTAAAACAATTATTTGGGTCTTGCACACCATAGTACCTGAAAAAAGGAAGAAGGGATCTAAAGATGAGGAAGAAGGACATCCTTGCCAGCTAACATTCAGACTGTTAAGCAGAGCATTCAGAACAATAAATTCAAGCAAAAACACAGCATTCATTTCTACAACCCCTAAGGGGTTAACATACTGCACATTAATTTAACATTCAATTGTTATTTTATGAAAATATAGTATCAATATATTCCACAACTAGGAGGACCCCCCAACTCCCCCATACAACTAGAATCCTCTCTTAATTCTATTTCTAAGCATGTGCCTACTATCATTGTCAAGCGTCTACTATCATTGTCAAGCGTCTGTTGGGGACCAAGATACAGCTCAAAATGTCAGTTCAAGACTAAAACAGTTATATGATTAAATAATGCAGTACGTAGATAATGGACCATTTTACCAAGTAGTAATGACTTGTGGGATTAAAAGAACCGTCTCGTTGTGGTAGAATATGTGCACAAAACTTATTTTGTGGGATTAAAAAATTCAGTAAGTACTGAGCACGTGTATTATGCACTTGATTATTTTTTAGTCAAACTACTAGTCATTACATGCAAAATGAGGGCCCAAAATCTATGACTTTATTGTACTATTAGATTTTAACACCAACTATATGATTTGACAAGATGATGGAGAAGATTCATGACAGGTGTGGTGGAAAGGTTGTTTTGACTCTGCATTTAAGGCAAAAAGGAAGAACTTACTTTTTGGAGCCAGCAGAGGAATGATTATGAAACAGCTAGAGGAATCATAATAAACTGGGAAGCACCTAGTTGGATGGTAATGCAAGGGCAGTTTCCCCAAATGAAGGACTGGTTTCTTTTGGAAGGTCCTTTGGAAGAATTAGGTGAGAGGAAAGTCATTCTTAATCTTCTTCTGTTGCTTCTGTACAATTATCAGAGTAGTTCTGTGGACATGAGCCAAATCCTTCTTGACAGCTTCATGGACAGCACTGTTAGATTCAAGTCATCAAAGGAGATGCAAGAATTTTATGCTCAGAAACCTTCTGGAAATGTTTAGTCCACACATATGCAAATAACTTGTCTTTCCACTCCTCTTAATCCCATGGTTGGAATTGCTTCTCAATTATTAGATGGTTGCATTTGATGCAAAGAGCACAGTTAGTAGTGCCATTTTGCTGGAGGATAGTACTATAGAGTTAAATGAACAGTTGATAAAAGAAAAATTGTAGCAATAGTATTGAAAACAAACCACACAGAGGAATACTAGGTTATTCCCAATACTTTCTCATTATAGCACCATATTATTCCATATTGCCAGTTTTCATTAACACTATTCGACATGAACATCTTGTTGTTCACAAACAACACATGATCTATTGTGATATTTTGTTGACATCCGCCAATATATGATATTTGCATAGGAAGGAATTCCCTCCAATAGCTTGCAAAACAAAAAATCCAACCAATCAGAACATTGTTTGGCATCTGTTGACAAAAATCCACCATGTTACCCAATGCAGATGTAAATTAATAATTATTTACATTGATACAATTCCCTAGTACAAAGAGAGTGCTGGAAATGATTCTATTTAAAACTTGTATGAAAATAAGAGGGATTGACATGTAATAAGATTTATTGAATACACATCAACATGAAATAGAGGCTATGTTCCTTGTTTCAGTGCTTGCCCATAACTGTTACTTCTAGTACTTGTGATAATGAATTGTTATCTTCATCAAAAGAACTAACTAAATTGACTATGCTGGTGTTATTCACAATCTTCACTATTGCTACTGCTTGATTGTAGTATGTGCTCAGTACAACAATGAGACTGCAGTGCATAAACAGAAAGGATACATGCTTGACGGCATTACTTTTTTGTTTCCCACTATTTTTCAGCAATTGTCTGTCTTTCTCTTCTACTTTAGCTCTTTTGAACCTGTGCTTCAGTTCTCCTATCTGTGGCAGCAAGCCTGCTTTCTTTTCTGTCTTCTCTAGTAGCATTTGCTTGCTGTTGCTTGAGGGACTGTTTCAATATGAAAGGATGTACTGGAAGTGGCTCTTGTGGTGTATGCTGTCTTTGTTGGTACATTAGGAGGGGACATTTGGTGGTGTGATTTACAGGAGCCAGAGGAGAGGAACAAGGAGGAATCAGCAGTACTAGTAGAAACCTTGGCGTTCCTGACCTGGTGCTGGTGTTGGGTAAGTTCTTACTGAGAAGTTTGCTGAGAAGTCTGACCCACCACCAGAGGAGGAGAATCATTCACCATGTTGGTGTTGGTATTCATATCCTCACCATACCCTTCTTCAACAACAATCTCCTCCTCAGCATCTCCAAGTAGTAAGACTTAGCTTTTCTTGGTTGCCTGCAATCATCAAGAACAAGAACAAGAACTTGTTGATCTTTGCAACACACACTTCATCCACTCAGGCATGTTGGGATCTCCCAAAAATATTGACATTTTTAGTATTTAGAATCCTCATTAAAACATGCTGTATGTAGTAGGTGCAATGGTGAAAATTATAATTGCAATAATAGTAGTGTTTTTAATAAAGTCATAACAACTTGAAACCTAAATTATTCTTATTGGTAGTACCATCCCCATATATGGTACTACTGTATCAGTTAAAGGACAATAGAAAGTGTTAACCATAAAAACTTACCACACCCTATGGGAAAAAGTAATTCTACTCCAGGCAAAAATATTTCTAGCAAAATTGAGGTTAATTTTGAAGCCTAGTAGTATTTAGCAGTAGTATTTTTGGTCACTTTTTTGGTKAATTATACTAGTAAAACTATCCAATCTGCTTTAAGCAGTTACAACTTTCTCATCAAAAATACTATTAGTAGTAGTATTTTAATTTTTGAGTAGCCAATTTAGGCCAGTTTTTAATGCTGAATCTGAATATACCATTTTGTCGGACGATATCAAGGAATGTATATTTTGGTACTATTTTACTGTTGAAAAATGAACATAATTCCATCTACTAGAAGTAGTACTAGGGAGTTGTACTATTATGATGAGTTTCACCTCAGTACCAGCAGTATTAAAAGTAGTACTAGTAAGGGTAGTATTAGTGGTCGTAGCAATACTAATAGTAGCCACTAATAGCACTACTAGGTACTAGTACTAGTGATAGTAGTATAAAAGTATAATAGTACTACTAGTACTAGCATCATAATAACTATTTAAAGGCTGGATAGTTTTAGTAGTACTAGTATTACCATGCAGTAAAACTGAGAATTACAAGAAATCCTGGGGTGATTTTTTAGAAATTTGGACCACACGTACGTGAATACAAGGTTTTTGATTGATGTGTCCCCTCTAAATTATGTCCACTGGCCACCCATATGTACTACAAGGTTCATGAGGTGGAGACAGGTCCAAAGCTGGTACACATTGTAGTACATGGCTATAGAGGAGGGAATAATACACCTCATTTGGGTTCCAAACCTCCACCTGTCTCACTTTTAAAAAAGAAACTATTTTATATTGGATTTCCAAGTTTTTCCAAGCTTTCCAAGCTCATTTTTTGAGAATTCAAATCAAATCCATTTCCAGACACTGGTACGAGTAAAAAGTTTGAATAAAATTGAAATCAAAATCAATTCCAACAATAGATTTCTCTACAATAAAATGCTTAGTACTGGGCCCTCAGGCGCTAACTACTGGGACCTGCTGCTATACTTCGGCAACTTCACCAATAGCCATTTCCTTCACTCTCTCCAGCACATTAAGTGGCATATTGTTAGCAACTCTCTCCTCTTCAGTCATCCCTGCAAGACATGTGAGGGCAACTTGTTGCTGTCTAGCTCTCTCCCTTCCTACTGCAGTATCCCTGATTGGAATCTCATCTTCCTTCAGTCTTTGCCATTCAGTCTCATCCTCATCACTCCGAGAAAATTCTGGAGGGGAAGATACATCCTTCAATCCCTCACTTCCAACCAAAGAACAAGCACTTCTTGCTTCTTTGTAGGATTCTCCTTTTGCTGCTTCCACTTGTGCAATACCTTGAGTGAAGAAACTGGAAGGGACTTGGCACCATCATCTTCCTTCTCAACATCTTTCCCCTTTGAGGCATACTCTTCAATTAATCTGGTAGCCTTGGGACTCAGATACTGCTTCAGCTTTCTTTGTTAGTGTCTCCAGGCGTTTAATAATCTGCTCTTGTCTTTCCTTCCTTTTTCCAGCAATAAAATGATCATTTGTGTAAAGTGTGTGTCCTCCTGCAACTATAAGAAACTGTTGACTGGAATATTTTGCTCCATCTGACAGAGCTCAGGAATTTGGTATGGTGACTGTCTCCAACAGTTCCTTTTTTTGTTGCACATACTTTTTTTCTGGCACATACTTTCTGAAGATACTACTGTTGAAATCAGCATCATTCAAGGCCTCCACCAATTTGGAATTCTTCTCTTTGTTCTCAATCAGCACAAGTGTATCAGGATCAGCCATCAAATCTATAGTACCATCTTCCAGTAGTACAACTAACTCATGGGCAACTTTGCTAGCTAGTAGGCACCACCTTGTGAATGGTGCAATCCCATTTTTTTTTCCACACCACTTTGGAATTGGCAACCAAGAATGCCTCATCATAGGCTGGCTCTAACACAACCTGTTCCTCAGTTCATGTAGTGTGGTTCCCAAAAACCAACAGCAGGAAATCATTTTGTGCCCTGCAGAAGCAAACAGGGCTTTCCAGATTATGACAGTACAATGACTTGAAAGGTCCATAGTTTTGGTCTGTGGGCTGGGTGACATGCATTGTATTTCAGACTCCAGCATGTAAATAGAAGCCTCTGGCTATGAGGTTTGACAACAAGCTAAGATCTTTTTGTCCAGGTCCACTATCAACAATAACAAGAACCTGTTTGCAAGGAAGGTCTGCTGCATCTGGATAGAGCCTAAGGACAGAATTCATCATGAAAGGTGGAATTCCATTGCATCCATTCTCACTGTACTAGCATTGCAAGAATTCACTGTGATTCCATTCTCAGTTAGCCAATTGTTTCCATGTATGCCTTCAATTTTAGCCACATCCTTTACAAAGTCATCCTGGATCTTTTTGTCTTCATCCTCCACCTTCGATTTCAGTTGGAAATGGGGCAGCAATGCAGATCCTGCAGCAGTACTTCCAGCAATAAATGTTACACACACAGTGTTCTTGTTTTTTCTGTCTGTGTCACATGCAATAGCTTAATTTGAAGAGCAGAATTGTGTATAGGAACAACTTCCTGACAAGGAATGATTACCATCAAGGGGTTCATCCACTTTTGTCAAGGTTCAGAATCCAATTGAGTTGGCCATTAAAGAATACAATTTCCCCATCAACCTCACTGCCATCAGTAGTCTTCTCTCTTGCCCATCCTCCAGATATCAACCTATTCTTCAATGTGTTGAACCTTATATTTATATTGTTATCTGTAGTCCAATTGGCTCTTCTGTCTTCAATCCTGGAGCATCCTGTAACAACAGCAACACGAGGCACAAATAAAGGGGGAATGCAATAATGAAGGTAATTGTAATCTTTAGTACAGTTGGACCTCCACCATTAAGGCGCAATGCAATCACCTGAGTCAGTGCCTTTTGATTTGGCTGCTCTTCCATTTCAGAACAACCAAGGGCAACATACAAAGCAATCACATTTACTAGCACTGCTTTAACTTGGGCAACTGCAGCACTAAAATTAGTCACGTTTCCAAGTGACTGCTCATGCTTTATTGTCTTCACTACTGGTGAAAGATATGCCATATCTTTTGTTATGCTTGTCAACCTTTATTGTATGCAAAATCTGTGCTGTCAAAGGGAGCTTACACTTCTTCTTCTTCTTCTTCTTCTTCTTCTTCTTCTTCTTCTTCTTCTTCTTTGATGGACTATCAACAATGGTACTGTCACCTTTGGTTGTCTCAGTGCTGTCATCTTTGCTGCTGTTGGTGCCAGCAGCACCATTAACACCAGTACTTCCTGTGAGGCCCGATACATCTGGTGGTGAAGAGGAGCATTCAATATTTGATAGGGGGGAACTCCAACAGCCACTTGTACCTCCAGCCTTTCCCTGTTTCTTAGAACCCTCCTCTGCAGGGCTCTGTTGCTGCATTCTTCTGCAGTGAAATTTGCAAACACCTTGCAAACACCGTCCATTGCCTTCCTGGTAGAACACTGCTGGTTCCCCAGCTTGGCAACCATCAATGCTCTAGCTGCTGTTTCTGTGCACACACACACTGCAACTGTGTGCCCACTTGATACAGCACAAGTAGGAATTTGATTGGATGGGTTGATATGGTTGTGTTGCTGGTTGCACTGGAGCTCCGCCCCTTTTTTTGCTAGTATTTCATGACAGCAATTCTTCCCTACTGCTGCTTAGATCTATTGTTTTTTGTAAACCACTCAGTTGAACAATCCAAGACTTTCAGATCCCTCCGTCCTTGTTAAAATGAAGTTATTCCAGTGTATGTGAGGGCTGCAAAGTGTTGTTTCGTGCTCTCCTGTCTGGAGGATCTGACAGCCAGGTCCCTATCCTGGTGGAGGTTCTTGTTGTTCTTTTGTTAATGAGTTTTTTTTTTGTTAAATATTTGGTACGCAGAGTAATCAACAAGTCGAAAAAGGTTCTCTAAACAAACAGCAATATAAACATCTACAGAAAGAAGAAAGAAAACCCTTTCCAACTAGCAGACTCTCTAATTCTGATCGGTCCTTTGTTAGCATTAACAAGCACGCAAAGCAAGCTCCTGTTGAATAGAAACCTTTCATGTACTCATAACCTAATCCAGATTCGATCCACACATTTTGTTCGTACAGTACCAGTTAATTCGATATTAAATGCATTAACCGTAAAAAGCCTACTGCGCACTACAGGAAAAAAAGTAATTTTACTCAAACTGATTTACACCAAAAATTATTACTAGTAATCATCACGGTTAATTTTGTTAATTTTGAAGCCCAGTATTTAGTACTGATCCTACTACATAGATCTACGAGTTTTCGGTCACTTTTTGACCACAAGAAACAGTGTTTATGAGGCCATTAAAAGTGCTCAAGAACCGGCTCAAATGAGATCCCCTTTGGGGATATGCCCCGTCATAGTGTTAAGAAGAGTGCTGTGTGTCATTGTTAGTACACAATTAGGGGCCAAGGGGGATCCAGTTCTCCATTAACAGCCGGTATGGTCAAATTTGGCCAGTGGAGACCGGCTGCTGATTAGAAATTAGGCCAGAACTCTATCAAAAAACAACTTTAGACCACCAGACTAAGCACCCAGACCAAGATGATACAATTACGTACTTAAAGATCTAGTAGGTCATTGGGATGCTTAAGGATGCTATGTAGGCTAAGGACTAGTCTGCGGAAGTTACAGGTAGTGAGGGGTCAAAAATCGTTAATTTTAGGGGTCATTTTATATCGAATTACAGTAACTGGTACCTCGTACGAGGTAGGAAGGCAAATGTGTGGACCGAATGTGAGACAGGTTATAATTTCAAAAAAACCGCGCAGTTTTTCTAGTAAAAAAAAACCACCAGCATGAGGGTTGTCTCACCCTCCAGACAGAGCTATTAGGGACACTTCCACTCCACACATGTACTGGAATAACTTCATTATAATACGAAGAAGGGGATCCGGAATTCTCAGAATGATCGGCCAAGTGGTTTTTTCTTAAGAGCCCTCAGTATAAAGGTGTGTAGAATCCTACGTACAAATTAGTACTACCAAATATTTCGATATAAAAATACTTATGGTTTTTTTTAAAGTGAGACAGGTTCATGTTGCGAAGGCAAATGAGGTGTATTGTTCCCTCCGTAGAGCTGTGTACAATTTGTACTGACTCCGGACCTGTCTCCACCTCATTTGCCTTCGTACCTCGTACCTGTGAAGTACTTTACCTGGTACAGTAACGTAGTACAGGCCGGTAGTACAGAAAATACGAAATAGAAATGACAAAAACCTGAGGTCTTGTAAGTGTGAGGGATGGCGCGCGCATGCGTCGACATACTTACATAGCAGTATTTACCTCGAACCGTGAAAAACGTTCTTTTTGCTTTACAAGGACGAAAAATAAATTCCATGATGCCTAGTCACGATAGTGGTAATACCATTGGTACACGGGCGGCTGTACGAATACACATACGTTACGACTACGACTAACGGGATGTTAAGTTGGGGTCATTTCAGAACTTCGTAAAAGCCGGAATCGCATGACTAGTACGGGAAATTGGTGCGTGCGGAATTTTCATTCGAAATGCTTCAGACATGGGACCAGGCATCCCAGGAGGAGATCACGCAACCCTTTGAAGTCGAGCAGAAGACCTATTCTCTCACACCCAATTAATGGGTACTCGTAAGCAAAAATAGGAACTTCTCACAAGCCCTCGATCACTCAATCGGAAGCGTTTGCTTCAGAAAGTCCGCTCTCTCTAACGAAGTTTGTCAACCAAGACTTGGAGGGAAACGTGCTGCCACCACCGATCCAGTGAATTTGCAATTGGCACATCTTGCAAGCCGAACATCATGTTTCAATCTCTGTATCAACCATCGGATGAAGGTTCACCAAAGAATTCAAATGTTACCAGAAGAAGACTTCGATTTGCAAACAATAATGGGGAAGGCACGGCCGGCAAAATCTCTCACGTCCACGCATTTGCAGGATATTGTTTTAGCTGTTTGTCAAACGTTTTCTTTCAACCGATAATAAAGTTGCTAAAGATCAAACTCCCTGTCTATGTTATATTTTTGGGCACGTTGTGTTTTGTAATGATGTCCCAAGTGGCCATAATGTACAGCAATCATTCCATTTTCTTGAAGCTCGACGACGTGATGGACGCTATACACCCCATCAATTCAATTCTTATGAACTCGACACAGATCCGTCCCGACGACAATCGCGCCATCTCCACTGCGATGAAAAACGAAATGACCGACGACGCCGTGTCGGAGGATGCAAGCAATCCTTACAACGTTGGGGCTAAAGATGGTGTTTTCTTTTCCAACGTATCCTATGACTTCCGCGAGTGTACTTCTCCCGAAAGCCACGTGCCATGGCCACTAGAGGGCGATATTCAGTCCAAAACATCGGCGATTACATGTGGCATGAGTGCCGACACGCCATTTTCTCGTTTTTTTTCGAGTCAATTGTGGAAAACCAAATTTGAACCATTGATCAAACAGTGCAACAAGCTGGTCGTTTTCGGCGTGGCCTTCGGAGGAAATTTTGTGAAGGATTTAGATGCACCACACGTACAGAAATTGGTTAATGCGACAGATTTGGAACGTCGGCATGGAAGATGTTTCTTCATACTGACTACAGAGAATGACGTTGTAAGAAATCAGCATATCGTCGACAAATACAACGGCAAGGATCGATCTTTCATCGATCCTATTGCTGTCGGCCACAATACCCTGGTTCCAATCCCTGACGACATATTGCCTTACAAAAACCCACGGAGAAATGTCAAACTTCTGAAATATGTGGGTCAATATTTGTTCCAAAATGCCGAAACTGTAATATGGCAAGACGCCAAATTTTTTCGAGACGATTTTGTCAGCAAACAACCCATGAATTATTTGGATCTCACTGACGATGATTCTTGCGTTACAGCCATGGCGTTGCCCGTCCACAAGATCACGGTTGGACTCGAAAATATCCGAAATGGTATGCAAAAGCACGGTCGTTATCGAGCCCAGTACGAACACCACTGCATGACCATCATTGCAGCTCTTAGCGATAGGCCAAACGTGACCGACAGCTCGGATAACCTCATTCGTCAGTGCGATGCCTACCTCCAGCATGTGTACCAGGAAAAGGGAAACATAGAAACTATGAATCAGGGATTGGTCGACTCTGCGTTTATCGTTTGGAACCATAAGACGCAAGTTTGTCGAGATTTCAGCAGTGCATTCCGATGTACTATCGTTGATCAAATCCAGTGCCATTCCGATCGAGACCAAGTTGGCATCCCTTTTGCCATGTACAAAATGGGAGTTGCAGGAATGTACCGACAGCACACAGGAGGAAAATTAAAAACAGTGGATGAAAAGTGGGACCCTCGAATTCATGATTTGGAATTTATTGTCACCGAGGAAGACAAAGCGAAAACAAATCACAGCCTAGCCGTCACCGGGAATGATGGGAATGACGAAGAACCTCCCACCATGATTAGGGTGACAAGATCGTCATGTCACTGGTACTTTTCGCGTCTGGGAAACTGTCGGACCGATCTGACGGACGAGAAACCCACTATAGCCCTCCTAGTAGCAGGGTCTGCTAAGCGGTTTGTCCTTGACGGTTTGACAGAACATTTTATCAAGCCACTCGTCGAGGAACAGAATACAAAGGTTGATTATTACCTTATGCTGAGCGTGAAGCAAGGACTAGCGTACCGGAGCAACGACGCTTATATGAAATACCAAACATTTGATCCAGCATTTGGTGAAATAAGGAATGAAAAGAATACGGATGTCGTTACGGCATTTTTATTTGACAAAATTCGAAAGATGATAAGTTTGTCGGGTGCGAACGTCGGAGGAATCCACATCCAACCTCAGCCGATGAGACTCGATCATCCTAAGTTGCGAAGGAAGCAATTAGAGGCCAAGAAAGCTCGACCAAAAGAGGACTCGTACTTTCGGTTCCCAACATTGGATCTACGGCCGGAATTCCGTAGGCGGACAGCGGTGACAAACCGTAATTTGTTCAAACTTTACCTCGGTATTCACAAGCTTTGGGACAAGCACCTGATTTCATCCGAAACCTACATTGGTGTATCATACGACTACGTAATGATATTGCGAGAAGATGTTATGTGGTTGGGCGATTTCAACCTGGAGAAGTTGATTGCAACGAATCCACAAGCAGACGCGTATGTGGTGTCATGCGACATCAGACACCAGAAAGATTCTCAGATAATAGAAAACGAATACAGCGATTATGGAATCGTCATCAAACGCGAGAAGGCAACCTTATTAGGCAAATACTTTACACACATACTGAGAACTGATCTCAACGCGTGTCACGAAAGCGTCAAAGACATGGTCCCACCAGACACGGGATGCAACAGTGGAATGTTATTGTACTGGATTATGAAAGAACACGATGTTAAGGTGCAGCGAGTCGCTCAATCGGTGTTTCCAATTGAACGTGCATTCAACTTAAATCTCAACCAGACAACACAGAGGTGCATTCATAGATACTGTCAAAGCAAAGAAGCTCCGCTGCAGATCCCAGACGACCTGCCGATTTGTAGCAACTTAGAATTACAATAAATGTAACTGTTAATATGTCTACGATATAATTTTCATTTTTCACAAGACGCAAAACGAGATTGTTCCGGAAAAGTGCCTTTTTGCGTAAAAACAACAGCGCGTGATGAAAGAGATTTTTTCTTTTCAACTACTACTATCTGCTGAATGGAACGTACTTACCACTTAGCTGCTCGTGGTTGGGTTGTGCGATCGTTATTCGGGATTTCGGATTTCTTCACCGTCATGATTTTTGTACAGCAGAACGGTTACAGTAGGTATTTTAGGTAAACAAATTCTTCTCGGCTAGAAGTACGAAGTAGTAAATTACACGAAGAGAAGAGGTTGTGAAATAGTGGCATGCTCATTGCTGTACCGTCGTATGAATACATGGATCACAATAAAGAGCCACTTAGTTTCAATGATGAGAAGGTAATGAGTTTGGTAAGTCTGCTTCATAATATTCCATATAACCTTTGAAATAGTGGCATATTCTTCATTTGTCGATGAAGAGAGAGGTCACTTAGTAGAGATTTGGGATCCCATGTCCTCACGAAGAAAGCCCTGGTTGAAAACGAATGTACCAGAAACGGAACTCGCTTTCGCAGTAATCTTGATGTGTGTCGGTACAATCTTTGATAGAACTACTACTACTCGTCCTCTACATTACAATGGCACCAGTCGATGACGATGACCTCTATGGCGACTTGGACACCAACCTGAAAAAAGCAAGACCAGACAACGAAAGGAAACGAAGATTATCCAGCAATGCCGAAGGAGGAAGTAACGGTGGTGGCCATGCTGGAGGATCGAATTTGGGTACCACCCAATTAGAGTTAGAGTACGTATCAATGCGGGAACGCATCCGGATCCTAGAAGAAGAAAATTCTCGGTTGAGACGAAACATAGGGACTCTATTTCGAACCGCAAAGAACGAAATCCAACGAAAAGACGAGCATATTAATCGTTTACAACAGCAGCTGCAACAACAGGAAAGCTAGCGAGAAGACTCGCTGCAGCACGACGACAACAAGAACGAACAGATCGATAGGGATAGTTATTCGGGAAGGGAAATTGTATGATAACGCGACGGGCCACTAACCATGTTGAGAGAAACAGAACTAACTGGAATCGATTCGGTATCGACATAAGAGAAATGCGAACTTCGTGTTGACTATATCCTTTTGCTTGAGAAATCACAATTCTGACTGTTGATCGGAATAGATAGTGCCGTATAACCCCTCGCCTCCTTCCCCCTCTTGTGTTACTTCGGGTCTGTACACGATCAGGAAAACAGCGCTGCCAGCAATCATTGCTTTCAACTACCGCTGAAAATAGACTATACCCTTTTGGAAAGAAACAAGAATGCAAGATTGCTTACTGCAACTTCGACTTCAAATGCAGCTGGTAGCGACTGTCCTTTAATAGCAATACCAAAACGATGCAAACCAAGATCTACGACAATTTCCTCGCCGTAGTTAGTCTCAGGTACCAAAGGGGATTAGATGGAACAATATTGCAGAAATTCCGTCTTTGATAATGCTAGTGCTTCAATAGATTTGAAAACTACCTCAAACGTGTGATTCAAATTCATTTCGTGTGATTTCTTCCCTGTACTTGTAAGGCCTGAGACGGCGCCACCAGTACCTTTATGATGACCGAATCGCTGAACCTCCCCTACATTTGTGTTGATCAAAGATTATCCCCTAACGAAAGGTTGCTTTATAGTGTCGCCAGAAGTTCATTTATTCGCAAATATTATAATTGAATATTCGTTGCAGTCAATTTTGTTTTCGTCTTCCTTTCTTTCGTCCGTCCTGTTCTTCGAAGCATTCCTTTCGTTGGATCAGTACCCATCTTTGGTATTGTATGTCTTGTGAACTGTTTCATTCTCGTTGCCGCTCTCGTACCTGCAGCTAGAAGAATTGTCATCGTTGTAGCCGATCGACACACATGCCACGCAACACACCCCGACATCGTCGTCGTCTCCAAGCTCTTCTACCACACGTCCTGAGTGAAACTCCAAGCCACCGGTGACTATTTCGATCGGCAAGAGTTTTCCATATGGAAATACTTTGGCCACCTCGAGAGCATCAATCGAGGCGGCAACGTTGTTGGGACGATCGACCGGTGGCGGTACGCCGAGCTTGACATGAATTATCATCCCCTTTCGCCCTCCCGGCACATGGTCGATGACCCCGGGAATGGAGTTGAATTCAATGGCATTTCGAACGGCCCGTACGGCGGCCTTGGTGGCAAAGCCATCTCTGAGTCTATCTCCGTGCTGGTCGACGCCAAATCCTAGCTGAACGAAGAACAGGTTCTGTGGAAAATTGCCATCGCTTTCTATCAGAGCGGCCCCAAGGCCGAGACGCTTCCATTCATCGCTCCAAAAGGGCCGTTCGTATGATTTGTTGTCGCCGCCACCCACTTCACCGTTTCCGCTCTGAGAAGCAATCAATTCGGACCAGGATGTCGGTAATCTCTTGTCACTGTTGGAGTAACATCCAGTTGTGGTGTGATACATACCCAATGCCGACGTCACCGGAAGTCTGGATTTTGGTTGGGACAAACAGTGATTGTAACCACCGGGGACGGCAATCCTAGTTATGGATGTCCAGAAAAAGGATTTAATGTGATTTTTGTATCTCGTTGTCGACAGCGCCATCTTCACGCTTCTAAGTCGATCTCAACTCACAACAATCAATGAAGTTGTCATTATTTTTTACTAGAAGTACCTGACAAAATCCAACTCGAAACAGAAACGATCTGAAAATCTTTTGAACTTGTACTGTATTGCGGTACGAACAATCTTTCGTCCAGTACGCAGTATGGTACTCACTCTAGTTACCGTACGGTACGTACGTACTATTGTACTTAACAAACCACGTTCCTTTTATCTCCTTTTTTACTTCACCTTCGTATCCACGAAATCTTCGACGAAAAGAACACCGAGCTTCCTCGAAAACATACAGCACATCAGCATCAATAAGTATTATTGCCCCAATTGCATTACTGCACGTAATGACCAATAAAAATACTATTGCTGACGAAACCTTTATTCGGTCGACGTCGATTTTCGAACGCTTTTTCTGTCGTAGACTTAAAGAATTTCTATTATTTCTGCACTTCTTCTAAATTTCGATTTTCTGCCACGATGCTGTTGCTGTTCCTTCTACATTACCGGTATTAAAGTAACAAAACCATCGTCTATGCCATAGGGAACCAAGGAACGGAAATCATACACACAATCTCTTTTCAGCTCATATTTACAGCCATTTGTATCCTGCCTGCGTCCTACTCAAATCTCAAGTAGAAAATCTATTTATTTCGAAATCCAAATAACTATTACCAACACAACGAAAACTGGAACAATGGGCGATAATTATGATATTACCCGCCTTCCCATCGATGCCGTGAAAAGCGTCGCAAAGATTGGCGCCTGGCCCATACACTTTGGGAAAACCATAGCCACGAATGTCACCGACACTGCCTTTAAGGTGATTGGAACCAACACCGAGGACAAGCCCTCAAAAACACCCCTGAAGGATGATAGTATCTACGAAATGGCGGAGTCCAATCTCGACATTGCCGCGATCATCTACTATTACACAGAACTTCGAAGCGAAACGAGACGCCTCCTCAAGAAGTATACAGTCGAAAAGGGAATGACATGGGAAGCCAGCAACCCAGAAGAACCGAGCCAACTAGTGATTCTTCGCAACGCCGTGAAGCTGGTGGAGAAGCGTTCAAAGACGATCCAATCGCCTGAAACGACGGCCTCTGTGCACGTTCTGAAAGATTACCAAGACAGTGTCATGCAGCTCGAAGGGCTGCGCAAGAAATTCAACCTCGATGAGGGTGACTTGGATATCTTCAAAACGGTAAGTCCATTCTTCTTGTTTCAACTACAGAGAAAACGTCACAGCGTACCAATGTTCGAACCACAGTAGTGAATCAGTTCTCTCTCTTACTAGGAATCGTCTTCGTTCTATTTCTTTCGTGAACTTTCTTTTTCTCAACATCATTCAGTACTTTGACATTCTTAGCGAACCCAAGACCCTTTCAGACGTCAAAAGCGATACAATTCTTTTTGACAACTACATCAGCCCGGCTTTCCGAGTTTCATTCGGCGGAACGAAATACAACCGAAGGAAAATCGAAAACTTGATCGGCGATGACAAAGAAGCCTATATTCACGAAATCGATGACGACTTCAACGCTACTTCGCTTCGTCCTCTGGGAATAATTAAGGGGTTTACCTCCGAAATCGTCTGGGCCATCGTGGTCTGCGACAAGAAGAAAACAATCACTGTTGTATTTCGTGGAAGTGTTAACGCCAGCGATTGGATTAAGAATCTTCAGTGTAACATGACCAACTGCAAACTTCCCGGCTTTACTTCTGAGAACGCGAAGGGTGGCGACGTCTATGGTCAGGTCCACGAGGGATTCTACAAATACCTCTTCGAGAAGACAAAGGTTGGTATGAACGGTAGCAATAAGAGCAAGGGAGAAGAAATAATGGGGAAACTCAAGGGAGATTTTTTCAGCAAGCCTAGATTCAGCGACTATTCTTTGTACGTCACCGGTCATTCGCTTGGAGGAGCTCTTAGCACGTAAGTTTAATTCTCTCGGCTGTGTGCTTGATGCTTTTCCTGTGTTTTTCTTCCATCATATCGAAGCACAGCGAGCAAGTTCATCCATCTCATTTTCATGAAACCAGTTTGTTCGCATTCCGCGCCGCCACCGAGAAAAATTTCAATGTACCGATAACAAATGTCTCGTTCGCCTCGCCGTTTGTCGGCAATGATGAGTTCCGTGAGAAGTTTGTGGACCTAGAACGCCTGAAGAAAATTCGTCATTTGCGAATCTCCAACTATCAGGACTTGGTCACGCTTATTCCGGCTACGACCTTTCCACTCCCGAATGGCATCCAGACCTTCAAGCACACTGGAATGAACATTCGTTTGTACGAGGGACGCGATTTGCTTGCTCCAAGCTACCGTCGATTCTATCCCAAGATGGGGTCGATTACCAACGGACTGAGAAACGCAATGCATGCTAACATCCCACTCGGACTGTCGGTATCCCCCATCAGCAATCACCTTTGTCCCGAATACACAAAGCGTCTCACTAACGAGAAGACCAAAGAAGAACTCTCCAAGCTTTCTTTGGATGAGCTCTACGGGGACAAGAGTATCACAGGATGGGATTACATCAAAAATTGATTTCATTTCATAGAAAATTTGATTTGAAATCTTTTCGATCATTCGGATTGATTCGGTAAATTGAGATTAGATTGCGCTGCATTCCATGAGCATTTATGTAGCTGGTGCTATTGGAGTGCAAGGTTGCAATGTGTTTTCCAAAAGCAATAGACAAATAGTTAAAAATTGTATGAATTTACTAATTACACTTGAAGAAACACAATATACTACTATGCGAAACTCCACACCAGCAACCAAGATCAATTTGTTAGGAGATCTGTAGCATAAAATCTGTGTAGAAGAAATACAGTGGAAAATTGCACGTCAATGGAATACTGCAGAATAGAAAAAGTACAGTAATTGGTTTCTATCACATGTTCAAAATCCTACTGTGGCCTACTGTGGCCTACTGTGGTCAACCTAAAACTGACAAGAAGCAGTGCCAAGCAAGCCATTCTTTTCATTCTTTCAAAAAAATATGTTGCCAAGCAACTAACCATGAGAATCAGCTTTTCAAACACTCMCAGTTGATCTTTGACCCTATAACTAGTGTAGTATCAGTTGATCCTTCTTTTAAATTGTCAATTTAAAACACCTTCAACTGTAGCAGAGGACAAGGTAGTAGTAGAACTCCTATTTGATCTGTTTTAGTGCTGCTTCTTTTTTGGGACAATAAACATGCTTCTTCCTACCTCTGACACCCTCAGTGTGGGTAACAAGAGCTAGGGACCCCTGTCCCCAGCCTGTCACTCACATAGGCACAATATTTTTATCAAGCAGCTTGTTGTGCTGCTCTGGAGAGGGAGGAAGAACTCCCTTCCTCTTGCAAAGACGAAGCAGCATCTTTAAGCATCTTTGAAACATCCAGACAATCACTGGAGGTCGAGTTGAATCCCTCTTCTTCCCTAGAAATAAAGCCAAGGCACTGAGGCAAGAGACGTGTCTGCTTCATGATGATGACCTCCTCTCTGCTAGATTGGGCAAAAGCATGCAAAGGAAGGCCTGGAGACCTTGCTACATATCTTCCATTCTTGCTTCTTTCTATGTGGCAATGGAGATGAGGAAGAGGATGGATTTTGCAACTGTAAGCAGTCAACAAGTCAGTAGATCTAGAGGCAATGATGCAAGCACTCTGCCCCTCTTCAAACTAATGACCCAAGCTGTCAAGCAAGTCATTGAAAAACAAGAGGAAAAATCAACTGATAAGGAGAAGAACAAGAGATCTTCCATCTGGAACAAAGGAATGGGAGCAGGAAGCAGGACCAGAAAACATTTAACCTATCCAATGTAGAGAAAGCCCCTTACCCTATGTGTAACAGTATTCTTCCCTGAATGGCAATCATGCACATCAACAAAATCTACCAAAAGTACCAAGAGGCTTGGGAGAAGTACACCAACAATATGAAGGAAGAATAGTACATGCCCAATTTGGGGAAGAAGGCAAAGTATCCCCGGTCAGTAGGGCAGATTGGTGGCTCCTGGGTTTACAAGAAGTTTTCATTGCAACTACCTACCAACAGGTGGGGGGAACTGTTGGAATGCAAAAAGGCTACTGGAAAGTACCTCAAGCATGATGATGCTAGTAATGGGAAGATGGACTGCTCATGTCTAACTTGCAATTTGATATGTGCAATTCTCTCCAATAGAGGGAACAGACACAGAACAGCCCTGGAAGCCAGGGCAAGCACTCTGAACCAACTTGTAGGCCTACCAACTATCCCCAGCTCTTCAACAACCATTGCATGATGAACACATTGCAGAGAAATGGTGCGATTGATACAGCAAAGGCAAAAGGGCATCCTGTGGATAATCCTGGCCTTGCTCAGGATGGGTATGGGTGTGCAGGTAGAGCAGGTTGTTTGCTGAGAATAGGAGTATTCAGGGGAACTTGACCATGAGGAATACCATTAAAGAGTTTGGAACAATGAGGAGTGAGACCAGGGATTGTATAATCATTGACACTCTCAGCAGGAAGGGGAGGACATCTGCTACAGCAGCTTTTCCAGTGGGAGCAAGGGGATTTGGTCTTCCAATTCTGAGGGAATTGCAACCACAGTACTAGCAGCCTCAACAGCAACTATAGGCTCCTGCTGCAAGAGGGTCTGCTACATTCAACCATCAGGACAACAGCTTCAGCAGGAATTGACTGGGTGCATCCACTACACCACACTTGTTGCATACCAGTGCTGGACCATTCTTTTTTGGTGGCCTGTAGCTAGCCCCTGAATTTTTCAATACTGCTTCATTTTGCACTCAAATTGCACTATTTTCAATCTCAAACCTCAGCTCATAATCCAAAATTTGCAATTTTCAAAAACATCAAACTCCACCATGTATTCTACTGCTTACTACATTGGCAAACAATTGTACTCTAGTTCTACTAGTAGCTTATTTGTTGATAGTGGCAGAGAGGATAAGAGTATAGAGTGCCCTTACCCCCCCCCC